ACGACGTAAAAGGCAAGGACCTACAGTTCAAGAGGATACAGAAAGTTGACATAAATAAGGGAATTTAGAGCAAATATATATTTGATTAGTTTGAATTATAAATGATATCTTTACATCACACCGCCCAGCTATCTTGATGCGGACGCTGGAGGCGGTAATCTGTCTGTTTGTTTAGCTAGCTGCTATCGAGCCTCCTGCTCTTCAAACACACCGCCTGCGGGGCGATGAGTACGGATCTGTTGTCGGACTTGGACAGCCGCTTCTTCGCGGATAACCTGCTGACGAGCGAAGACTGGGGTGAGGCAGCATTTTGAAGCATTAAGGGTGAGGCTGAAGCATTCAGAGGAGGCTGACGTGATAGCGGGGGTGTGGATGCATCGAGAAGGCGAGGCGACGCAAACGGGGTCGTCGGAGCGTCTTCGGCGCTCATTGTTCCCACCGTGACATCTGTGTTCACGACAGAACTGGTCAAATATATTCGTATATGATGATTTTTGGGTTGTGTTAGAGCGCACGCGACTGCAGGGCTGTCCTGTGCACGCGCTTCCTCCTTCAGCCTGCTCGCCCGGACGCGCCGGTGTGTTCAACACGTTGGCTGGAAACGTGAGCTGCTTTAATTTAACCGCACACTTCGCCCTCTGCGTGTTGTTCCCCCATTTCCGCTAAAAACCCGCATTAAACCGCGTACTGTTGACATGTTTCAGGGCAAAGCTCGAGCCGCGGTCAGGGGGAGGAAGAGGGTTGTCACGACTGTCGTGATCAGCGCACGCTGTTATCGCGATATCTGCTGGAAACTGGTTAAAAAACCTCATCAGCCTCCTCTTATCTCCAGCTTCACGATAACCCCGAGAAAGGTGGTGTAGGCAGGTGGATGCAGGTGGAGGGTGTGCTGTTCCCTTTGTTAGAATAACATGTCATGGATAACCAGTCAGATAGAACAGCCGTGCTGTAGATGTAGCTCTCTCTGTTATGTTAACATTTTTAAATAAAAAAACACGTTTCCAGGATTTACCTGCCTGTTAAACAGTGAAGTAGGTTTACAACCCGTTTTATTGTAGCTGTTAGACCAAAGAATTTATAGCGCCCTGCCGCTGCGGTAAATACAGTTTCATCTAATCTCACCTGAGATTAGATGAAACTTTAATGATCCCCCTGAGAGAAGTGGGTCAGAGCAGCAGCAGGAAGAGTGAAAACACCTGAGAACGTGTAAAACACAGCTATTTCTGACCAAAGTGCGTGCATGCTGTATGTATGCACACAGCAGCACAGGAGGCGGAGTCATCAAATACAAACTTCTGTGTGTAAAAAGTTTAGTTTTTTTATTTTGTTGGTAAGAGAAACTCTGCTATTATTATCCACAGATCAGTGTGTATTTATCAGCTTCTAGAAAATAAAATGGTATCAGCATCTATAAACATGACAAAACAGTAAGAGGAGACATGAGAAACACCATTCAGCCCTGCTGTGTGTTAATGGTGCATAGTTTGTCCACAAGGGGGCACTCTGCAGCTTCCTCATTGATAACAGCTATCAGGACATTTAATCTTTCTTAATCACAAAAATATCCTGTATTAGTCAGTAAATCATTTTAAAATCTCTGAGCTCGAGTTCTGGGATACTCGAATACTTTACGCCGTCTCCGGCTGAGCTGATGGACTCATTTCTAGTCCTGTCCATCTGCTCACACTTCAGCTCCGCCTCCCGTCTCCAAACCATCACAGCAGGTCTCACCTCCATCTTTAAACCTGCTGCTGTCCTTCTGTCACAAATCCTGTGCAGAGATCTGGAGGATTCATAAAAAGTAAAGATCACATGCAGAGTTTTAGAGTGCTGCTCTGACAGCATGTGGCTTCAAACTCCAGAGGTGTGAGGAAAGCATGACGGGAGAAGCAGAGTTGACACCATCGCGGTGTGTGCGTGGTTGAAGCTGGTTTTGTTTTCTCTCATGTATGTGGACTCGTGTCTCCTGCAGATGCCTGCCTGTTCCAGTGTGAGAGCATGGAGGAGGGCGAGGACGGGGACTTCGGCCGAGGCTTGAAATACGACGCATCGGTACGTTCGACACACAAAGCTCACCTCACATTGAACCCGACACCCTGCGACCAGCATCCAGTGTGTAGCTCTGCTGCTACACTTACAGCTAATCCTAGATCATCAGCACTGTCAGATGATGTAAGACCAAAGTGTTCAGCCGCAACATTAAAACCACCTGCCTGACACTGAGCAGTGAAGACGGCTGTGAGCCTGCAGGGCTGTGTGGGCTCTGCCTCTGGGACCAGGCCTGCTGGGACTCACTGGGCACATTTGCGTAGCCTCACAGAGCTGTGAGCTCATTATTTGACTGTCTGATATTTATGAAAATGACGACGCTGAGCCCAGCGATCGCTGCCTGATTGGGTCTTTCGAGTCGCTGCGCTGCTTCCCTGATTCGTCACTCTACTATCACATGACCCACAAACCCATCCTGGATAGCAGCAGATCAACATGTACAAGAATAAACGGACAAATAATTTCTGAAGTAGGGATCATTTGAGTTTTAACAGATAAATTGATTTTGCTCAACTACAGCAGCTTTGCATGAGTGACGGTTTAAAATAAGCCTTCTTATACTTCCACTGGACCTCACTGCAGCTGCTCAGTTCATAATCTGTCTGAAGTGAACAGTTTGAGTTTGCCCCACAAACAGGTTTGAAGAGCAGGGCGTGGTTTCTGTGGCCGAGACCTCCATATAAGGAATATTTCCCCTCTGTGGCTTCAGCTGCATCAAGAGTGGGGAAACAGCTGAGACTTCTAGACATGTTTAATATCTACATCAGCCATCGTAGCTGCACAGGCAGGAAGACAAAGAAAAGCAGAGAAGAAGCTTTTTTTAACACCAGAATCTTTGTTTGTTTGTTTGTTTGTTTTTAAATAGAAAAACAAAACTTTCAAAGTAAAAGTTTGTTTTTCTGGATTTTGGTTCTTCAGATTAAAAGTCTCTGAAACAGACTGACACATGACTGTTTTGGTTAGCAAGCTGCTGTGAATGCAGTGTTTGCTAGTTTAGCTGTGAGCTTAAAGTGCTGCAGATGGTGATTAATAATTGTTATGACTTTAACGATCAGCGGTGACGTGGCGTGTGTTGCGGAGCTGCTTCCTGGTTGAAGCTGCAGGTTCAACAGGATGTTTCCTGGTGTTTTGTTATCTGTGATCTGCAGGACGTGACCGACAAGTTTACTGAATTGCAAACAGTTTCTGCAAACGTCCCACCTTAAAATAACGATGAAATATTTGTCGTGCTGCTTTGGCCCTCAATGAGGAGAAATGTTTGCTTCATGTTTATCACCTGCTTCCTGTGACCTTTGACCTGAATTGAGTTTCCACATCACAGCTGATGCTTCATGCTTCAGCAGATTTACGTCCTCACAGAAACTCAAGTTTTTGTCTGAGTTGTTGTAGCTGCAGATCACAGCTCCGCCCACTTTGCTGCTTTGGTGACAGCGGTGTGATAATGAGACACACACACACTCTCGTTTTGGTATCTTAGTGAGGACATCTAATTGACATAGGCGTTCCCTATCTGCTAACCGTTAACTATGAATGCCTAACCCAACTGTGACCCTGACACTAACCCCACACTTTAAGTCTCAAACATGCAAACTCGTGAAGACGGGCACGTTTGGGCTGTTGGTCCCCACAAAGATATCTAAACAGGCGCACGCACACACACACAGTTGCTGGGACTGATTGTTTATCTTTCTCTCTCTCTCTTCTCCTCTCTCTCTCTCTCTCTCTCTCTCTCTCTCTCTCTCTCTCGCTCTCTCTCTCTCTCTCTCTCTCTCGTTCTGCCAGTTCGACAATGACCTCGTGCTCACCCTCGATCCTGACAACCCTACGTCGCCCTGGCGACACCTTGACGACAACCTTCTCACAGGTACATGGCGGTCAGCGGACCGTGGCGACCTTAAACCACCAGCGTTTAGTGTGAGTTTGATGTAAATGAGCTGTTTCCTGTGTGTGTTTTCTTTGAAGCTGACGCTCCGGCCATTAAAAACGAAATGACAATAACGCAGCCGCTGCCGGTGGAGATGTGTAAGTCCCTGCCGGGTTTCTTTTCATGGGGTTTTGGATCGTTTGTACGTTTCCTGTGGTTTCACTGTTTGTCGTGTGCAGTGTTTCAGGTGAAAGCAGAGCCTCCCTCGCCCACGTCCTCGCTCGAGTCCGAGTGCTCGGCCTCTCCACCTGACCCACAGGTGTGTCTCAGTCAGGAAAGCTAATGAACACAGACGGGTTTGTTGTGGCGGTTAAAAAGATGTCCTCGTTTCTCTCTCCTGCTCAGATCACCGTTAAAGGCGAAAATCCTCCGACTCCTCCCTACATGTACGGAGACGTGCTGTCGCCTCCTCTAGGGTCCATGGAGGTTACCGTAGCAACAACAGCACCCCCAACACAAACCCAGATTGCTGCGCGAGCACAGCACCGGCCCTTTGTGTGAGAGGTGAAAGAGTTCAGGTGTGTGAGCTCTGCCTCAGTGGCTCTCTGCTGTTTCCAGGTGTAAGCCTGCTCAGAGAGCCGGTGTGAATAAGGCAGCAGCTCAAAGCAGCTTTTATCTGAACTGTGGGGAAAACGGAGCGTCGGCGGGTCGCTCGAGCTTTCATGTTTGGGCTCTGCCTGAAGGGAAAGCTCTCAGTTTACTGGGCGACTGTGGAGGTGGAGCCTGAACATAATAGGTCAGTCCCAACAGACATGAATGTCTCATCTGCTGCAACCTGATCCTGGTTAGAAAGCAGAGAAAAGGCGAGTGTATCATCATCATCATCATCATCATCATCACCACAGCGACTCACTCTGAGGCTCGCCGCTCACCTTAAAGTGTCTCTAATGAACATCAGAGGGTTTGGATTATAAATCCTGGCAGTGATGGCTGTATGAAAGCACACGCTGGTGTCACGTTAGCTTACCTCTGTATGCGTGCGCGCTCTGTCAGCAGGATGTGGAGTTTAAATCCTGCTCAGGGTCAGACGCGTCGGGTAACCATGACAGCGAGAGGACATCACTGAGTGAAATATGTTTCCAGAAGTTTCTGAGTGATTGAACTCAAACTGCTGTGTTTATCTTCTAAAATCAAGTTTGTCATCAAAAGTTTGGAGCATTTCCTGCTCTGTTGTGGACGGCACGCCTGCAGCTCTGCAGCTCTGCAGCTCTGCAGCTCTGCAGCGCCTCCACACCGGTTGTTCTGTGCGAGCATGCTAACAAACCTGTTTGTGTACTTTGGATTAACTGCAGCGTGCGCGCTCCGTCCTGTTTGCATGCTGAGCCTTGGCGTCGGGTTTCACTCACGGTGTCGTTTAACCAAAGAGCCGCGAGGTTCCAGTCTGACCTGTGAGCGCCGCTGCGGCCTCTGTTAAACGGCGCCGTTTTAACCTCTGACGCCGCCTCTTTGTCTCTTTCAGTCTCTCTCAGTCCGAGCTCGGCCACGTTAAAGGCCAACACCATCCTGAGCACCAAACCCCCCATCCAGCCCCGACCCGTGTGCGTCGCCACCCTCCCCGTCCCCCAGACCGCCACGCCGGCCAAGGCGCTCATACTGCAGGGCCTCCCCTCCATGGACCAGACCAGACCTGGTAACAACATCCTGTTTCTTCCTTTACTAATGCTTCTGTTTATTTCCTTTCCCATCACAGTTTCTTTTATACATATCTACTTTTATGTTTCACATCTAAATAATTTCATTTATCATTATAAGTTAATATATTAATTTATTTCTGCCTTTGCTTTTCGTGGCGTTTCACTTTGTGCAGCTGATTTAATAACGTAGTCGGGGAATGAGGGATGCTGGAGTCCGACCTTTAACCTTCCTAAACAGTCATGTGTTCAGTTCTCGTGTGTCGAGGATGCTCTGAGCGGATTCGTCTTCATCTTCTCCTCTTCCTCCTCCAGTCGTCATCTCTCCGTCCGTCTGCCTCGGCTCCACGCCGGCCATCGTCAAAATGGAGCCCGTCTCTCCCAGCATCCCCCAGCACTGCTCCAGCCCCACGGCCCCGCCCACCAGCAAACCCATCGTCCCGGCGACCACGACTTTGCCCGGCAACAGCTCGAACGACATCGATGTGAGTACAGCACTGACGTTACAGCCAGTACCCA